ACAAAACAGCAAAGCAGACGTGATAATAGAGGAGAAGCATTGATAGGATAGATTCGTATCTGATATTTTATCGAGAACGGAAATCTAATGATATGTATAGAATGCTATTGTATACATATCGTTAGATTGTTCTTTCTTGTATAGAATGCTATTGTTCTTTTGGCTGAAATTATGCTAAAGCGTCGTTGAAGGAAAAGGGAGAGCACTGATCAATATGGGAGAATTATATTTGAGGTTTAATCAAAAGGAAAAGAAGATGCATGGTGAGACATATGTATAGCTTGCCTTGTTGATATTCAATTTAAATAACAACTTCATGTATGCCAAACGACTTTTTTTAATTGTGAGGGTCCTTAGACAAGATAGTCATTTGCTCAGTCATTTTACAGCACACGCCATTTTTGATAGATGCCTGAAAACAAAATGTACCTTGAACGGTCTGGAATTTCACTGTTTCCATCTTTATCGAGCGGGATTTAATCAAGGTTTTTGCTTGCCAAAAATACGAAAACTGGCACGGAGAAGCTCATACAGAAATGAAAGCAAAGGAAGAGAAAATCAGCCAAAGTCGGAGCAGCAGAGGGTATACTCGTACACCAATTCGACCGAAATGCGTGAGTGTAGCTGACTTACTGCACTAAAAAGCGAGTGCGATCATTTTCAGTGGAACATCCATGCTTAAAATGCAAAAAAAAGCTTTTTACGACCAGCAAACGACTGAGAAATATCGGGTGGAGGACTATGTCGCCGAATTTGGAAGAGTCCCGCGCGGATTCCCTGCAGGAACGCATGTCCGCGCATGCACAAGGGTGCGTACTTGTCGCAAATGACCGCGGGGTCCGCCCTTTTTCGGCGACATATAGTCCTCCACCCAGAAATATCTGGTCGTTGAGCATGCCGAAATCAATCAACACGACAACTTCTCCGTCGTGGGGGGGGGCACTCGCTTCTCTTATTCAAATTACGCTACAAGCACTCTCAACTACAAATTATATCGAGAATTTCACACTGCACTCGGCATTCTATTGAAGGCTTTGGTAGCCAGATGGTGGAGATGCTGTGCAGAAGAAAGGCAGAATTAAAGTTGTGAATCTTGTCCTCCTTCCACTCCGCCAGGGACCCTTATGTTCGTCCACCCACTTTATGTTAGTGTTCCGTACGAAATTCTGATAGAGCACATTCGAGAACGAGGACATTACCGTGTGCTTACAGTTCAGTATCCAAATACGTGAATGTTTGAGACCAATTTTCAAAAATTAGGTCATTCCGAAAGTAATTTCGCTTTTTTCAAACGGACGCCACATGTGATGGAACAAAGGTTTTTAAAAGGTCTTTGAGATATTCGATGCAGCATTTCATTCTCTTTTTAAAGGTTATGAAATGGTTGCAGCGCACTCAATGAGCTTTCAGAAAATAACCAAAATCTGCGACCTATGCTTTTTGTGATGGTCAAGTTTCACGATTTTTTCAAAACTTTCATATCAATCCTCAGAAGGAGCTCAAGTAACGATTCGATAGAGTAATCCTTATAGAATACATTACTACTTTTTTCTCTTCCTCGTTGCTCGCCGTAATATTTTTTAGGTTTTTTAACAGAACTATCGGATTTTGGCAGGCCCACCTCAGCCACAATCGCATCAAACATCATAATTTTTCGGAATTTGAGACTACCAAGATGGTACTATGAGTCAGCATCAATTTTACAAAGCAAGTGAGGGTTTACGGGTTCGAAATATCAAATTTCGAGTTTTTCGGGTACAGCCTGGGGCTCGCTAAAAAAATGAGTTATGTTGATTTCTCTCCGAAAACTAAACGAATCGGAAACAAAGAACATGTATTAGAAAGAGGAGAAAATGCTGTATCGAATAGTGTGCGAGCTGCCTTTCTTTTGATGGTCTACGAAGATTTAGCTGCTCAAGTATGGAAATCGGTAGCATCAGTTAAAATTCTGTTAAAAATGTATGACAAGCTATGGAAAGGAGAAAAAAAGTAGTACTGTATCCTATAAGGTCTACTCTAACGAAATATTACTTGAACTCCTTCTGAGGATTGATGTGAAAGTTTTAAAAAATCTTGAAACTTGACAATTTCAAAAAGCATGGATCGCAGATTTTGGTTATTTTCAAAAAGCTCATTGACTGTTTTGCAACAATTTCATAACCATTAAAAAGAGAATGAAATGCTGCATCGAATGCATCCAAGATCCTTTAGTAACCTTTGTTCCATCAAATGTGGCGCCCGTTTGAAAAAAGCGAAATTACTTTTGAAACGACCGAATATTTCGAAAATTCAGTCACTCGCAAGAAGCTATGCATTGGAGATATGTGATCTTCAAACGGCTACATTGATTTGGATGGTTCCAAATGGAGGAGCTTGTAATCAAATATTCGTACTGCAAAAAATGGTAAGATTGCGGGGGTCCCACTTTGCTGCAGATTGAATAAATCATGCTATTGAAAAAACGACTTAACCTTTACAGTATGCGCTAGAATAATATTAGGTTGGAAACTAAGTTTTGCAACTGGTCTCATAACTTCGCTCTCACTCAACATGGCGCACTCAAATTTTGCCACTGCGTTGGTTATTACGTAAGCTACAAGCGCAGCTGCTGTCCTACCAAATTCTGACGTCGCAGTGAAGGTTACGGTAGGTGCATGGTATGAAGGGGAAAAGTCAAAGTTTGACGGATTTGGCTACAACTTGGCATAGGGGTGTTATTCGACATGCTCATCACGAAAACGATAGTGAAATTGCGTGATAAGGGCTTTTTTGTAGGATTACTGTGTGTACGATATGGGGTCTCACCCTAAACAAGGAAAAGGGCGTTGATTCAATAAATGAATGTGATATTTGCGTTTGGCAGGTCAAATAACCTTACTATGCAAAGTCTCGGCGGAATTTGAGCTTTGGACTCTTTAGTCATTGACGGTCGTCCCCAGCAGCTCTTGCGTACGTCGACTCGTTCGACTTTATGAGGACGCCAAATCTCGATATGCCCCTAAATTTTGTTTCTTTCTCAGTAGACCAAAGGAGTCAACCTCCAGCAATAATTTGTAGACGAATCCGGATTACTGCGCCTGGTCTAGGCTGCCAAAGGCTTAACTTTAGCTTAAAACCCCAAAAATTCTCAAATTTCACTAGCTTTCGAAAAACGCCTGAAACTTTTCTATTTCGTGTTCAAAATTTTGACAATTTGTGCTCACTTGTAGCTCACATTGCTTTCCACATGATGCCAAAGTTTGAGTGCGCCATATTCAAAGAGAGTGAAGTTATGAAACCAGTTGCAAAACTTAGTTTTCAGCCTAATATATGTCCACCGAAAGATTTGGTTATTATCAGTCATCTTGGGAATGGTCAGAAGTCGAAGTGGCCATTTCAAGCAAGCTGCCCACCATTCGATGCAGTATTCAACAAGATTTCGAATTTATATTTCATAACTGCTTAGCGCTTTTGTGGAGGAAGCTATGAGCAGCTTTATTGCGCAAAAATCGTACATATAAATTGCGAAATTGAGCACAATGTTACACCTTTAACTTACCTCTAGGCTTCAAGAATATAAAGTAAACTAGCTGCATGTTTTGGACCCGCATAAAGCCGTACATGGATTTGTACTGCCAAATTTGCACTATGCGTGCACGAATTTCAGCAAAATAACGGCTTTTAAAGGCTCATAACTTCGCTCGCATAGAATCTAAGCAGATGCGGAATACAGATTCGAAGTCAGCGTTTTGTTCTGCATCTAATATTATTCAGCTTGTTTGAATTAGCCACTTCCTCTGATCATTTCCTTGTAAGCGCATTATCGATTAGTGTAGTTTAAACTGCGATGGTTTTTGACATCATTCAGTTGTGAATGGTTTAATCAATTATTTAAATGACGATTTGTTTGCTTAGAGAGCAGTGGTAGCATAATTGGCTCTATCCACAATATGCAAATATAATTCTTTGTTCAATTACCATCATTCGTTAGTGTAGGCATCCCAACAAGATCATTCTCCCAGATCGCCGACTGGGGGAAAAAGCTCATCTAGCAATTACTGAGGGATTGGTTGCGGCAGAATTGTAGGAATTCTTCCATATAAGTGTAGTCACTTTTCAAGCTCCTCAAAAAATTTTTTTTGAAATAATCCGAAATAGGAACAGAAGGATGCAGAGTTCTAAAAGTGGCGCCTTTGCAGGATCTAATTTCTGAGTACTTCAGCGGATATTTTGACCAGGTCAAACTTCAGAAGGGACCAAAATTTCATGACGTTTTTTCTGCGTTTGAGAAGGAAATGACGCAAGTTAAAAATAATTATTCTGTGTCCCCGCTTATCGAGATAGATCTCAGTCTTCTAAGACAGGTGGTTTGCAGATAATGCAGTAATGAATTTAATCTCTATCAGTCGCCTACAAGCTCGTCAAGAAACATATCATCTACCCCCTCATGATTGAATGCCCTAAGCTTGATGCTGATCCACTTCTATACAAGACAAGCATGGAAGTTCTATCTCTGGTTGCTCCTCCAATCAATATGTTTGCCGTTTATTGCATTGTGAAAAAGTCCACTAAGCAAATGGGATCGTACAAATGGTGGCTACTTATATACCAACTGGCGTCGATGACTTTTGATTTCACTTGTGATATTCTTGCGCTACCAGTTGTATTTTTACCAATGCCAATGGGTTACGCTGGTTCCCTTCTTGCGGAATGGATGTCGATAGCAACGCACACAGTTCTTTTGATGTTTATATCTTGTGTTCCGTTATTTGCTTTAACGATAATTAATCTCTTCCTACACCGATGTCATCTAATCGCGCCTCCACATAATTTTCTCAGAAACCAGAAAGGTAGGTTTAAACTGTATTAAAACTCTGCGGCGCTGCGAAGCAGTTTGCGTGTCTCTGTCCACTTTTGAACGACTCGGAGGCAGCGGAAGTGGCGGGCGGCGGCGTGCACGCTGCGGCGTGTGCATTGTTTGCGTCTGCAAATCAACCGTAATATCCTGACAACATTTTCAGTACTTGCGGCTTTCCGTATTGCATTATTCATAGTATATTGTGTACCCATAGCTATTGTGCTATCTATCATTTCTCCAGATCAAGCAGAGGCAAGAAAATGGGTTTTAGAGGTGCCCTACTTTTCGCGTACTTCCTATACTTCAGTTTAAACTGTTCAAATTTCAGGAATATACGTGTGCCCGGTCTGTGATAGATACCCCGCGACTTCATATTTATACTCCAACAAGTATTCGTCCTGCTGTATTGACCATATTCCTACTTGACATGGGGACGTTCATACTAGCCATTGTTGCGATCTGCTTGTCATTTAGTTTTCTCAGCAGCAGAAATGAAATGTCGCAGAAGACGAGAACTATGCAAAAGCGCTATCTCAAATTGCTGTGCATACAGGTACTCTTATATTTCTGTCAAATCTAAGACTTTGTGCTTTGCTGGACCTAAATGTAAGGGAATTCACAAAACCAATTGATTTATGTACTTCTGCTGGTACATGTAAAGTCGATCAACAAATTTCGTGCGTCTGGTTACCTTTACTGATATTCGCAGTCGTTACAAAAGTTCCAAACTTTCGCTTAATTTTTTATTTGGAGAGAGATTTGGTCGACGGAAATTGGCTCAATCTTAACTCACGATCGAATATGTTTTCGCTTCGCGTCCTTATTTAGCGATTTCCTTTTACAAAATCGAGCATTGGAAATATTGCAAAACATTGGAAATAATAAGTTTCTTTCTTCTGCTAGCTAGTGGTTGAGTCATTTTACGAAATTGGTAGTCTTTCATGAAAGAAAACAAAACGAAACAACCATCCGCTAATTATATCAACTATCCAATATTTCAAACTAACATTTGTCAGAAAATTATCAAGTCTGCTAATAGCTGAGCTCGGACTTTGGTCTAACGATCACCCTGCGACAGAAGTGCTGGCGACGCAAATGTTCTCTCAACTCAAGTAAATCCTCATAATGTTTGCAGATCGCAATCCCGGTAGCAACAATGGCAGTACCGATTTTGATGCTAATCTACATGTTAGGAGTTTCAACAAGTGCTAAGCAAGGTGAGTGATTTATGATTATTAAGGCTGTTTGCTATCTTTGGCTATGTTATCCTTGAATCACAGCTGTATTTTCGCAATTTTATTTTGAGGTGATTTAAGAGAGGTATTTTTGTACAACAGATTACATATATTCAAAGCCCCTAGTCATCCTAATAGTATTCATAATTTTGGCGAGTTTCTCTTTTAGATTTAGCGAATCTCGCTTTTGTTGGGATGGGACTGCATGGTGTTACAGCTCCGTTATCTTCAATATTTACCAATGATAATTATCGAAAATTCGTCATCCAGAAATTGGGATTTGGTGATTTTTTCAAGCTTGAATTAGCGAAGTGAAAATCAGTTCTATTTCTAGTGTGCGCACGACGTTCGAAGTCCAACGTTAGCGTCACAGTGGAAAGAGTGGTGACTACTCATACAGCAACTTAAAAACCGCGTCAGCGAGATTTGAGTGCCTTAAATGGGTTCAAGAGCGGAACTTGATGAAGAATAAGATGCTCGGAGAGAGAAATGGCAAGTAGCATTTATTTGAAAAGCTCAAAAAATTTTCACTTTCAGATTTCCGCACCCCACAAGATAGCATCAAATGTTGCTCGTCGAGGCAAAACCAACAATAAATAAATTGAATCATAAACCCAACCAATCAATACATAATATCACTGAAATTTTCTAGTGTTTGAATACAGTTACCAGAGTAACAACTGAGCTAATATTAGATTGTCCCAAAAATTTTGTCGGTTTTTTTCATCGCTCACTAAAACTCACAGAACATCACAGATCAATCCATAAACGATCTAGGTGCCATTTGATTCAGATTTGCATTCCCTTTCTTACAGGTATATTTGCTCTCTGACGTACCCTGTCTTTGCAGTGTTATCGTCATAGCTTTCTAAGCAGTTCAAGAGTAACGCCAAACATTTCCGAAATTTTAAGAACCTTTATTTTGATATTTTCAGGGAGCGCTGGCAACTGTCATGTAGAACAAACCTTTGGCTACATTGCATATTTTAGATTACATGGAGCACTTTTATCAAGCCCGTATTAATTATTTAGAAAAACCGCGGCTTTCTGATTACGTTCAACACGTAAAAGTACCGAAAATTCCAAAAAGCTGATTTTTCAAAGCAAATCAGACTTGGATAGCTTGCATAAATAATATTCAATAACAAATAAGTTTTAGTTCGCAAAAACTTCAAAAGTTTTCATGCTTTTGCTGCAGTTGCGTTTCACGACTTTGCCAAAAATCGAGACCTTCGAAGAATCAATTTGTAGAGCTCAAAACAGCATATTAAAAGAATCTAAAAATGTCACCATATAGCCCGAGAATTGATCTACTCGGGCCATGCTTAACCCTTCCAGAAACTTTGAAGCGAAATTTTTGAAAATTAGCCTAACTGTGAGCTCATAAAATTGACGGGTGGAGAATTTTTGCATTTATCAAAAAAAAGCATATAGAATTGTTGTTTGAGAATGTATCCATACGAAAGGGAAGGAAAAGCTGCATCGAACGCATGTTGAGACTCGTTTGGGTCTTTATTGTGCGTGGTCTTATAGTGGTCTGAAAAAACCGATAAAACTTTAGGGACAACCTAATATTGATGATATGCTGCGAATTAACATTGCTCATGATTTGCAGATTTATTTTTGCTTGTAAATATTTTTATTAGTTTTGAAAATCCAGATCTGTTTGTGTCTGATGCTGACGCTTTCTCTTGTAATAAATTCTTGTCTCACTTTCTTTTTCCCAAAAGAAGTTTTGACCGCTACTCACACGCTAATATTATTGGGGACACCCCTTTTCTCAATTATAAAGAGATATGGACAATTTGATGAGCTCTGTTTGATAGCATTTACAGGTTTCGTAGCTTTTTATTTGCAAGTTTTGCTATGATGTTATGGGCATGTAGCAACAAGGGCAAACTTATGAAATTGCCTCAATGTTCTTGACAGGAATTCTCCACAAATTATTTTACACGAAGTACAAATACTTTTACTTTGACATCAAAATCCGGTACGAACCCTATGGTATAATGCTACCAATACTGGCCCGAATAGGACAAGTTATTGAACCGAGTGACCTCATCAAAATTCTTCTTACTGTCTGCTTCTACACTTCTGAATACTGATTTGAAGAGTAGTACACTCACTGTCATAACCAGATTCATTCTTGAGCGAAAATTCATAACAAAGTCTGAGAACATTCTCTCTGCGTGAGCAAGCGCAACGTGCCTTATTGTGTGCAGCTGTTTTTTCAATTACCGCATAAGTCCAAGGTCGTAATGGAGCAAGTGAATTGTGTGATAGATTGTTTGTGGCAATGATGTCTGATGGAACACATATAAACACGTAAAGCACGTTTAAGATCACAAGTTTACGCATTTTTCAGAAAGAACATATCTAGCCTGATCGCTGCCCACATCACGGAAAGTTTTGTTTCAGGTGCGTTACGATTACTTTGGAGACGTTCGTCCAGGTCAGCTGGAGGGTGGTGGGATTTTGATGCAGAGTGGGAGCACGGCTCTTGACTAATGCAACAGTTGAAGTCCGATCAGAAAAGGTTGATTCTGAAGCGAGAAAATCGATTCGGAAAAAAAGGGGCTGTACGCCAAGCCCGCCTCCTTGACAAGTTTTGATGTGGCGAATGCTGTACTCCTAATGTATTAACCACGACAAAACTTGTCAAGGGGGGGGGGGGGATTAGCGTACCGTTTATTTTTTCCGAAACGATTTTCTTGCTTCAGAAACCATCTTTTACGATTGGACTTGAAGTGTCACATTAGTCAGGAGCCGTGCTCCTGCACTGTGTCAAATTCTCACCACACCTGGACAATGTTTTTGAACTTGCACCATAATGCAAGCCAATCCAAGAAATGAACTATAGATGGTTATAAGCATACTTCTATACGCCTGCGTTTGACATCATGCTAAGCATTGAGTCGCCTTTTGGCACGATGTTCCGGATGGATCGAAATTGGCACCAAAAAGTTAATATCAGGGCGTGCTTAACTCCCAAGAATTCTCAAACATTTTCTAATTATAGAATGTGAAAACTAAGCTACGAAACGCATATGGTTGGCACAAGCTATCGTTTATGTTGGTTGCCTCCCGACAAATAGATGTGTATACTTGACAAGCGAAAAGCAAAAAACAACACTGCTTTTCTAGGTTTTGAATATTCACAATAATTTTTTATAGTTCATTCAGGACCGAAAAAGCGAAGAGTGGTCCTTTTGAAGGGCGTGAATAGGCTAAGCTTAGGCCTTTGCTGGAGGAGGGGGGGGGGAGAGATGGTTAAAAATGTGTTTAATGAGGTGAGCGAGAAAGCAGCGAAATTTGAAGGAAAAGTGGCACTCGCTACTGATATATGTCTTCAATTTTTGAAATTGATCAAATTATGTTCAGTCAATTTCGCGTGAACTTGCAGATCAAGTTTCGCTTTTGACGCTAATGCTGATTTGTCGAAATGTATTTATTTGGTTACCCACATCCAGTTATACCATTCGATTGCCGCCATATCTTTATGGAATTCTGAAAAACTCGTACCACCAGCAAATTTTGGGCTTTTATTGCGTCTATAAAGTATCTGGTAATGTTATCGCAATATACAAAAATTCTATGAATTCATCGTTGGTTCGCCCTCTCCTTCAAAATTATTTCTCAATCACAGGAAACTCTTCTGTTTTCATTGAGGTGCGTTACTAAATGCATTAGGCATTTGAATGTTTGATTTACTGATTGGAAATACTTCACTTCCTTTTATGGTGTCTTTGACCAAGTTCATGTCAACTCACTTCCCACCTTGGAGTGTCAACATATTTTGGATTAACACAGGCCCTCAATTTGACAGTGTCTCTTAGGGAGTGGAAATATTGACTGAGGTCATTTATCCGAAGATAATAGCCCAACGGCACTACACTCTAACAGCTGCTGCACTCCTTAAATTTTTTTCTTTTTCCGCAAAATTTGGTGATTTTGTCGCTGAAATTTTGTTTATCAAATAGTGCTCATCTTTTAGAAATTGCAACTGGCTTTTGAGGAAGGTAGAACGAATTCTTCCATGTTTTATCTTTTAGAACGTAAGCTAAAAAAGTCTGTGGAAAAATGTTTGAACTGCTATCTCTCTCGCGGTGCAACTCTGCAGAAATGAGAGATAATACGTATCGCCTGTCGGCAGCGAACCACACGTTTTGCAGCCGATTGCTAACACCTTTTTTTCTCACAATTTGACACTAAAGATGCATTTTTTTTTTGAATTTACGAATGGAGGAGATGTTCATCATCTATATATCTATCTATATATATAAAACTCAAAGTGTGTTTGTCTGTTAATAAGTATGTTCCTTATACAAATCTTTCTGAGTGTACCAAATGAGCTGAAACTTTGCACACTTATGTTTTGGACCCTGGCGCAGAACATAGCCTACTTTTCGCGGCGATTTACTGGATCCCTCTATTGATTTGTTGATTTGTTTACTTACATCTGGGAAAATGAGGCTTGACATGCTCAAACCAATCATTTTGCCGTGATCATGTAGTCAGGGGATGGTAAAGCTCATTTTAATGTCAATGTCGGAAAGATGCGGGCAATTCGTTTCAATGCCCTTTTGCGCAGAAGAAGCTCAAAAGCGTAAGTGTAAGTAACTTCTTCTTAGCTAAACTGGAGCCCGAGTGAAACCGGGACCGCCGGCTAGTATATATATAAAACTCAAACACTGTACCGTGTTTGTTAGGATGTTTGTGGCTTATAGACTCCTTTGTATGTGAACCAAAGAGGCTGAATTTTGTTTCCCTATAAATGAGACACGGCGCATCAGATAGGCTACTTTTTTCGACAATTCGCTGGGTCCTTCTATCGATTTATTGATTTTGTTTACTAAAATCAAGGAAAATGAAGGCTATACCATTCATTTCTCCAATTTAAGTAGTAAGGGGTGGTAGAGATCATTTACATTTTGCGGTGAGGAGCATGCGGTGTCATGAAGCGAGCCGGTCAAGAAAGAAGACTATTCACCACGGATACTACACGAGCGCTGGAACTGACAAGGAGGTGAAGCAGGAGAGTCACAGAAGATGTGAACTGAAGAAAGTGGAGGACTGGTAAGTATACATCTTGAAGCACACCCTATGCTGGGCCATTCTGGACTCTCGGCCCGGGCGGGACCGGGGACCGCAGCTAGTTCACTATAAAGCAGTACGCATTGGCAATGAATTAGTGTGGTAAACAAATTAATGCGATTGATTTGCTAAGAGATATAGATCGATTTTCAAATTCGTCAAGATGTGCTTCAACTTTTACTTAAGATATCGTTCACTTTACTTAAGAAAGGTTCCTACTTAGTTTTTTGTTTGACCTTCTACTTGTTGCTGTCAAATGCTGCCCTTGCCTAATTCACCTTGCAGGATTACACTTCTATACTAACTTTGTTGCGATCGGAAACTGGATTTTATTGTCATGCAAGTAACCTCTTCTGTTCTAGTACGTTGTTTGAACAGTTACGACACATTATTCTTCTGTACTGATTTTCCATCTGAGAAACAAACTTTGCAATGCTTGTGGACTTTAAAAACGATGTGTTGCAAAACTTTAGTCCCGTCGCAGGTTTTGTTGTAGCAGGTTTGAAATATCGGAAACGCAACTACCGCAAAATGTTTTAGTTTTGTTATGCTCATCATTTATAACTCAATGTGCGTACCGCACACCATGTATGCTACTTGACGCTTGCAAGATTAGAACCTATAGGCGATTCATAGCACGCAAAGACTGCGGACCTATCGGCGTCTCTCTGGTCGAGCGCTCTTTCGCTTCTCTTACCATCTGCTGTCTCTCCCATGACGAACTATCTTGAACAAACAAACTAACCAGTCTTTGCGTGTAAACTCATTTCAACTGGTTAATCGTTGCTTGTTCTTTGATTTATATGTGTATTAGCTATTAAGACACATTTATTTCATTACGCGAAAAGTCTCAATGAGATCTTACTAGTAAGAATGTTGCTGATTGCTGTGCATAGTGTGCAGACTTAGAACCGTACACTAATTTACGGATAACTTGAAGATTTATCCACAGCTTCATGTAGCGTGGAAATTTTGTCTCAGTAGCATTAATCTTATTATAATTTTCATAAACACCGCAAAAATTAGCAGGACCAAATTTCACCATTTTACCTACGTTTGACATTGCAGCAATAACAGCATGTACTAATTATGGAAGGAAATTATGCTCAGCGGCATGATTGCAGTATATTGTTGCTACATTCATTTTTAGATTATAACTTAAATAAAATCTACGATGGCGAACCAAAGAGGATTATTTCGCAACACAAACAGCTTTGCTTATCTTATCATCCACAAAGCTTAACGTTTTTTGAGCTTAGTGCTCACTATACGATAGAGAACGAAAAAGCAAAAATTATCAAACGTCGGAAATCCTTTATAGAGCAACCACGTGACATGACACAATGGCCTGTGTTTGTCGTTCAACTTCTAAGTTGAAATATTCCTCAATACAATGTGCCGTGTTTGGACTAACTGTTTGGACTTTACTTCATATCTATTAAGATGAGCTTTTAGTATTTCCCATTCAAATAATTCCCCTCCAATGTGTCATTTTCATAATCGACATGCTGTTTACATTTAGCATCAGTAAAACAAAAAGTTTTCTTCTTGCAATGTGTTTTAGTCTTAGATCTTGTGCAAACTAAGCGACTCCATATCAGCGTCATGTCCAAACAAAAAGGCAAACATTCCTACTCTGTGAGTTGAGCTAAATCAAATTATTAGGTTGGCTAGAAAATAAGTTGGTTTTGGCATGCGGAACTCACGAAAAATTTTCTTGTTTTTCTTTTCTATCTATTCGATTTTTTCCTCAATAAGCGGAACCTTCCTTAAGCCACACGTTCCGAACATCTATGGAAGCCGGTTCAGTCCATGTCATAAATTTTTCATAATTAAGCACCTTCGCTAAGATCACGCAACTGATGTGTTGATATCATTTTGATATCCTACACCTCGAAGTAGAGAAACTTTTCGCATACAATTCATGGCTTCAACAGACATTGGCAGTGTTTTTCAAACAGCTTAAAATATATTATATTCGTAGTCTCATTGCCCACTTCAAAACATTCTATAGAGGCTCGTATCGCATGGAAACTGCTCGCTTGGACGGGTCAAAAAGCAAAACTAAAAAAAATCGTTCTCTTATCTGTAGAAAGATGATGTGTCTCTACGGTTCCAAGATGGGTACCATTAACCAGTTATAAGGTTTCGATAGCGGCCGACGTTTAAAGTCGCTTTCCTGCCCGAGGTTGCTTTCACCCAAAGCGCAGCGTACATCAACAGTAAGCGAGGTTCACCCCGCTCGTCCACTGAATTTTCTCAGTTACTTGCGCCAGCATAGCTCACCGGTCCGTTGTTCACCAGCATCTATATTGTTCCCCAAAAAAAGAACCAACGACGAGGCTGAAAATCACCTCAGAGGCTTGCAAAAGAACTTCGTAAAGAAACAGCCACCCTAAGTAAACTCGTTTTCAGGAGCTTTACATCGGTTTGCCATAGCACATTTTCCTTGCTTCATCGAACGACAATCTTCTTTCCCCTTACCTCGACTGCGTTCTCAGGCACGCTTCTATCTGATCCACTTAATCCGCTTGATCGACTTGCACCTGCAGAAGTATTCATTCTATCGATCTCGATTAGCAACACACAATGAACACGACACTAGTGGCATGATATACTTCAAACTATCTCAGTTGACAAGATTACAGCATATGACAGAAGCAGTGGCGTACCCAGGATTTCGGTTCGGGGGGGGGGGGGGCGACAAAAAATTTTTTCAATGAAGGTGCGTGGCGTCAGCCACGCACTCCGAAAAAATTTTTGGGATGTTTCTCAAAATTTTCTGGGCCCCCGATCCCAAAATTCCAGAAAAAGGGGGCGTGGCGGCAGCCACGCCCCCGAAAATTTTTTTTACAAAGCTAGAATTTTTAAAAATTTTTAAAAATTATTGTAATCATTTACAGCAAATACAAGTCCTCTGCACATTTCTATAACACATTTAAGTAACTTTCAAAAATTTCGCGGCCTATTCTCGGGGGGGGGGGGGGCGCCCCCCTCGGTACGCCACTGGACAGAAGGGATCAAATGTTAATTAGCAAAATAGCTCGAAATACAAAACGAAAAGTAAAGGTAATGGGCGGGTTCATACAAATCAGAAAATGAAGGCTTAAGATAATAGGCTAGTGGTGAGAGAAAAAAACGGCAATAACAATGTTATTTGTTCAGTTTTGATCCCCCTACCTATTTCATCGTTTTCTCCTCCTGCTGAATACATAAAGTTTATTCGGACATTGCATCCGGCCTGCATTGCTCCATATCAGGCTAGAAGGTGAGCGAAGCCAAGGGGCGTGGTCGCATTCGCGACGCCAGCTTTCCTCGGGCGCAATTAGTGGCGATGCAACACTACTGCAAGATATACCCGAAAGGGAATGTGGCATAGATTTGCTCCAAGACGTCTGTCCCTTGTCCATCGAACTCAAAAATCTGAGTAAGAGCAATGAAATTGTACTTCTGTATGCTTAAAAAGTCGTGGCCTCGATGAAAATGCCACTACTTTTCAGTCAGAGGTTGTTGAGGTGGCATCCTTGTCAAATCACTTGAAGGAGCTAAAGCGAGCTGTCCTTGTAGCAAGGATTATCGTCAGCTATCCGTCACTAAAGCGAGTACGAGAAAGTGAATTTGCTTGTTTAAATGACATATGCAAAATCTTTACCCCGACTGAGAACAACCAGTAAAATGCCTGAACAGATCGCAAATTTTTTTAGTTTGCTGCAGCAACCCGCTTTCGTTTGAAAATAACCACGCTATTTTCAAATACTAACCAGAATTGTGCTAGCTTAGAAACCTTTTAGAGGTTTCCTTCTTGACTGTTTAGTTACTCCTATACTTCAAATTTTTCGCACACCTACGAAATTTCGTTTTTTCCAAAATTGCTTCATCTTCGCGCTCCCCGCTTTCCTTGACATGGGAGTGGTAATGCAAATTTTTGAAAGCATTAGTGATGATGCGATCAGATGCAAAATTAAAACATTGAAGAATGAGGATACAACGTAGCTCTGAAAGCGAACTACTGTTTAAAACGAATTTACAAACAATATCGAGCTTTTCTTTTCTTTCCAATCATCGTCGATTTTGATAAAGTGTCCTGGATTGATAACAAATTATGAATATTCCTGATTTTCACATTGGAAAGGTGAATGCGGAAAGTTTTCGCATGCTTACTTTCTGCAACAACGTTGCATCGTCAGTCATGGCTTACATTCTTTAGTGAAACAATATTTCAGAAATGGAAGCGAGTGCAATTACATCCCCTTCAAAAGGATCTCTTTCTTCTTTTTCAAATTCACTGATTTCCGTAGATCGCAATCATAAAGTGTACGGCATATTTTTATTGCACGGTATCGGTATGTTAATGTCATGGAATATGTTCATCACCATAGCACCACAGGTAGGTCGTGAAAGAAGGCTAGTGTGGTAAACTACCGCTTTTCATTAGCGATTCATAAGGATAAGAAGCATTTAGTACTATGTGTCTTATTGGTTCACTGTGGATGGAAATGCCACGCATTATGCAGAAAGTTTTATGAGTGTTCTTGGAGCAACTTCACAGATCCCAGCCGTAGGGATTATGTTCGTGAATATGGCAATAGTGATCGCGTATGTATTTTCAAGCACTTCTGTGTACACCACTGATAACAAGATTTGCAGAGGATCGCTAATGATGCGGATCGTTGTACCGCTTATCATTAACTGTTTTCTGGTTCTTACTATTATTGCTCTTGTCATCTTCGTGCAGCCAAACGATAATGGTAAAAAAATACATCCTTGCAGTCCAAAGTGAAATAGCTTATTCAAAAAATTTTATTTTAAAAATATTAAAAATAAAAATATTTTTACATCCTATGTTCATTAATAACGAATCTGACTAGAAAACAAGGCACTCCACATTTGCAATTTCGGAAAGAAACGATACTGAGTATATCCAGCCGTTTGTAGCAAGAGAGATGGCTCAGAACTTTTCCCGCAACAGTCAGTGAATGCAGATTTGATCTACCTATTTTTATCACAAATGGCTGTATCAACTTATTATTTACTATTCTTCCCTTGTGAAATATGGACGAATTAGCTGCACAGGATATAAACTAGGATGGAGAATGCTTATGCAAGACAACTCATTCTCTGTAATGCGGTAAAAAATTGTAGCTACAAAAAGTTTTTTATTCTGAGAGTTTTGACATGCTTTCCACGTTGTAAGTGAGCCTATAATCTTGAAAATTGAAGATAGCAATCTCGTTCCGCCACTTCCTGGGTGTCGGGACCGTGATGGGAGATGTGGGTGCCGCGCTTCTTTTCAGTGCTACGTCTTAAGGGCCGGCATACTTCACGCGATTTGGCAGTATTCCAACTGTCCATAACTCACTGTGAGCACATTTTAAGTGCACAGAAGATAGAAGATTTTATCCATCCATGTTAGTGATACACACTATGCATGTGCAGTTTGTTAGTGTTGGATCTGAAGACTTTTGGCAAATTGCCAAATTGCGAGAAGTATGCCCGCTCAAATATCTAAGAGAGTGGGTCCCGCCGCATTCGTGCCAGTACGTAGTGGGCGACAAATCGCGTGCCATCGCGAGCAGTTTCTTGACGGGCATACCTTCAGTGGCGATATCGCTACACATCGCCGAAACTGAGAGCAATCGCGTCGCAGAGTCTTAGCGACTGGTGATATGTCGTGTTGCTTTTTTTTGTCTGGAGAAATTCCGCGAATTTTTTCCTTTCAACTGATGCACTATGCGAACAGCACCGCATGACCTGCGCTTCCGCTTCACTCACCACTCTGTATTGTTTATCCACTTTTTCTATCCACTTCTTTCTCTTATCCTTTCCACTTATCCACTTTAGCTCTGGATTTACGGAAGCGTTACTATATTGCCTTAGCGATGGAAGTAAGTGTTTTTCTTCTTGTTTATTTGTATTTTTCGCTTTCCTTTTCCCTTTTCCGAATCTCCTGACTACTTGAAAGTTTTCTACTGTGTACTTGTCTGTTGCTTTACTGACTACTTTACTTTAGATTGCTGCTACTCTTGGCTTGCACTCCTAAGTGCTGTACGTGTGGCTAATGTGTCGGCAACTTGCAACAAATTGTCGCTAGCGTGTAATTCTATGTTGGCAGCAATGTGATGTCTGCCATCCTTGAGCAACAGTTGTTGTTGTTGTGGTGTTGCAGTAGTTGCATGTTGCTACATAGCCATACTGCCGCAGTCAGAGATGCAAAACAAGGCTAGCATAATCGTAGAATGAGCGATGCTATGGTGGACGCGTCTATGAGCCTAATTAGCATGTGGGATTAATGTTTGAAAAGAGTGAGAGATGTCAGACGGATTTAGAAACTCGCTATGTTTGCATTCATTCGGGCGTAAAGTGTGAGCTACGTTTGTAAAAGGTATGGCCCGAATGAGCGACTTGCGATTTGTCCCGAAGCGATTAGACGCCAAAGCATTCAATGCCTCAGCGATGAGAATTGCTACGATGGAGGAGTTGCTGAAAGTATGCCCGGGGCCTTAGACACTGACACTTAATTTCTAAGATCGACAATACAAGTTTTTACATACTCAACATTACTCTGTCGTAACAAACTAACTATTTTAGATCGAAATTGGTTTTACATTGTTACACTCGTCGTAATAATGCTCATGAATCTTTGCAATGGGGTATATCAAAACTCTATTTATGGAATTGTTGCGGATTTTCCCGACAACTATCCAAACTCACTCATCATTGGTAACAACATATGTGGAATATTCACTAGCGTAATGAGCATTTTCACTACATTAGGTATGTTTATCCTATAGACAATCACACTTTATACCCCCAAAAAATTTCAGTGTCACCTGATAGCGTGATGCTAAACGCTTTACTTTATTTCTGCATATCGTTGGCAATCCTAGTCATATGCGGATTATCACTTATTGTTCTGGTCAGATTGGTATGCCCTCCTCTATTTAAACAACTCTATACCATGACTTGAGCAGTAGAACAACTAAGAAAATCCCTGAAGGCAGCGGTCAGAGTTGCTCATGTGCGCTTTGCGACATATCTGCATTTTTTGCGCGTTATCGGCTATTTTTTCTTTATTTATGAAACCGTACGAAGTTGAAGGAGTAGATATTCATTATGTTCTATTCTTGCCATACTACCGTTACGTCATGGACAAGGGCGCGCGTGCTCGTCTGCTTGATGACGCCGAACGACCCAGTTTGAGACAGTACTGGGAATGTTTGAGTTATGTGAGTCATACAGATGCACCAGATTACTATAAGCAATATGTTAATTCCAGTGCTGGGTCCAACTTTTCAACAACTTCTTTGTCTACTTTATTACACTTATGATATTTCCTGCCATGATGACAGATACACCTTTCTACAGACAACCAGGCGATCCGTGGGGATCTATCCTTCCAGGTGAGTCCTTGACGTCCGTTTTTAAAACGGACCAAAATTTCAAGTTTCGAAGCTTTCATTAGATCTACGATGAATTTCAGAAAATCTCTACTTTGCCATAAACACATTTCTTAACTTCAACGTTTTTGCATCACTTGGCTCTTTGTCCGCAAATTTCGTACATTATGTAAGTTCTTATCATGCTAGTTGAAAGTCTATGCAAAGTAAATATTTCAGCCAAAGCCGAAGTTTTTGTGGATACCAGTAATAGCCCGGGTACTATTCGTACCATTTTTTATGTTCTGCAACTACCAACCTGTAGGCAAACATAGAACGATAGGGGTAAGGATGAATTTTGGCCATAGTAAATTTACGTCAAATCTCAACAATCTGCATTATTATGAATCACAAGCTTTCCAACAAATTTTCTCAAGTCTGGATTCCAAGAAAGTAACACCATACTTTTCAAACGTAGTCGTGATACAGAGCTCTTATATTCAAGTGGGAAGCAAGTGTTATACGTTTTCATAGGTTTTGCACCAAAAGAAAGTGTGAAGTCAGCTGGGATACCCGACTTCCTTCGGCACACATGCACTTTAATCTCGAAACGAATCAAACTTGTATTCCTCAAGAAGAGGAAAAAAACTTTGAGTCATGTCTATACTATTTCGGCCCCCTTTAGATTTCTGTTTCAATAGGTCCTAGCTTTCCAGGGAGGTCATCGGTAAGAAAGGATAGCTCAACTGATTTTAATTATTAAGCTGTTCCACACGTAAACTCTATTTCCAAATAGACGGAGCCGTTTTTGTTTTCATAGCCGACTTAGGGTACATAGATAGAGCGGATCAAGCTCTATGAAAGCCTCCCAAAAATCCACCTAAAAAGGGATCGGAGTCGAAGTGGCCAATTTACCACAAATCGCACATCACTGATGAGAGATTGAAACGCTGATTCTAAATCTGCTCTTTTTATTTATATAGCGCTTTTGGAAAAGAAGTTATGAGCATTTCATGTAGTCGAAATATGAATTTATTGCTGAGATAGAATAAGCCGTTACAGTTTTTTTAAACATTGAGACGGTAGCAAGGGTTAGGATACTTTGGAAAATAATTCCCTTCTGTTTGAAATTTGAGTACTTCTTATTTTCTCGCTTTACGTTTAGATAGACTGTAACGATTGTTTCTTCTCGGCCACCAGCTCGTTTTTCGCCTCAAAAATGTTCATAATTTCTTTCACAAAGTCGCTCTGCAGATAAAGAAAGCAGATTTGGAATCAGCGTGTGAAGCTCTCACTAATGTTTTGCGTCGTCATCCTTCCTTATAAGTTGTAACCCACGTAAAGTTTGGAGCCAAAAAAATATTTTAGCACCTTAAAAATTTGCTTCCAAAAAGTTCCTACGGACTTTTTGGTCTCAATATAGTAAACAATAGTAGCAAAAATGCATTTGGTGAATATTTTCCGGGGATCAAAATTAAGAAACAAAAATGGCCTGAAAATGCTAAAGTGTTATTTTTCCGGGGTTCCATGTAAAACTTGGTATTTCTTGATTTTAAGAGCACATACAGGGGTAAAGTTTTGAGATTATTAAGTAGGGTTTGTAGTATACAATGACATATGTGGGAAGGGATGGGGCGGAGTTTGCAATTTTGGGGTTTTTTCTCGCTTTCTATGCGCGAAAAAGTCCAGTTAAGGCTGTTTGAGTACTATGCGCCTACTGTTTAACACGTTGACGACGAGCCATTTTTTGAAGGTCTGTCCCTGTAGACGAACCGTTTCCGGGCATTTTCACAGCCGGCTGCATGTGTGTATGTATGCATCTATGCGTGAGGTACAAAAACGCAAGTGGGTGGGGTAGCTCCGCTCATTTTGGCAGACCCCGCCCACTTTTCAAAAATGCTGGAAATTGCTAAAAATCAATGAATTCATGCAAATTCCGGCATTTTTGAAAAGTGGGCGGAGCTTGCCACTGAGGGAGTGGAGCCTGCATTACGGGGGGCGGGGTCAAAATTAAGAATATTTGAGGTTCTCCAGTCATCTACGAGCTTTTCTATGCAATTTGAGGACGAAAAAAGCTTTTTGTAGAGAGCAATGGAGTGGGCGGAGTTTGCCAAAAAGGGGGCGGGGCCAACGTGAAATACTTCTAAGCCTAAGTTGATTATGTGAACACAAATCGGAACCATTGTGCACAATAGAAGTGATGTTTTGGGTGTCACTCACCATTGCGTGCCATCGTCCACAGGGACAGACTGCCTGTCGCGCACCATTGCGTGCCACCGTCGTCAACGTGTTAAGAACCAAGTTGGAGTTACGTAAGATGTTCTTTCGCGAAAATCCATTTTTCGGATGACAAAATCTTTTTCATTTTGGTTTCAAACTTTACATGGGCGACTTAAGCATCCTTAATGGTCATTTTGTAGAGCAGCTTGATGAGTGACCTAGAACCTAATAAGTTCGAATATTTACCCCCTTTCCTTCCCAAACTCCCACCTCTGATAACTCTTTCTTAATCTCCTGTATCGCCAATTCGGACATTATTCCATTTTCTGAAATTTTTCGTAAGACCCGACTTAGAATAGATGAACACAGCTCTAAACTAGAGCATGCATGTATGATAGTTTCTAGGATGCGCTAGTTATCTGCTTCCCTCTAGCGCATGTGCATAGGTACAGGTTCGTCGGACTTCCGACTCAGATTCTAACACGCCACGTAGTATATTTAACTGCGCAAGAAAGACTTTCTAGTCTACTCCTACTGCGCATGAAAAGTGCACCTCGCATTATAAATCGTCACCGCGAGTGCAGGCCCACCCGCTGACTGAGTGGCCGGTGAATGCGGCCGCTCGTCCAAGTTTCCTTTATCGGCTCGCTGCCCGTCTGGTATTTTTGCCTGAGAGTGCTTTTCGTATTTCAAAGCAACAACATGTCCTTTAACAAATTCTAGGTTTTGTTCAAAAGCGAATGGTGGTTCACGATTGGTGGTGCTCTTATGGCATATACTTGTGGATATTTTAGCAGTTTAGCCCTAATCTATACTCCGAGGTAATCGAACCACATAACCTGTCAACGTAGCAATATTGCACATAAGTACGTGTAAAACATATTTCAGTGTTGTTCCTCCTAGCTATCAAAAGATCAGTGGCATGGCGGCAGCAATTGCTCTGATGTTAGGTAAGCAGAGACTTTATATTAGGTTGATGCATAATTCTTGTACCAAAATTTTGAAATTCTGTTACTTCCTTAAGCTTTAATCTTCTGATTTGACACATGTTAGAGAGAGGAAATCTTGCGTTTTCTCCCAGTGCTGGAGTCAACATTCCTTGAGGCCATATTACAGCGATGTAAACCGATCAAGGAAATTACCCGAAAATGATTTTTCGATTGTTGGCTACTTAAACTGCTAAAACATCTACTAAAATTTAAATCTATTTTTAGCCTTGGTTTATGGCATACTCTCTTTGACTAAGAGAAGTTGGTAGTGATTTCTGCTAATGGTTACAAATTTCAATTTTCAATGGCCTATTGATGTCCCATACATCCTCCAAAATGTACTGTAAAGCACTGCTTTTGGTAACATTTTTTATTTTTGGAGCAAGAATTGCGCATCAACTTGATATTTGCAGTCTACCGAAAAAAGATACTAGTAGATTTGGCTATCTGAGAAAAGATATCTGATAGTGTGCGCGCAGGAAGATTCTCAGCCTAAAAATTAAGTCTTCGTTAACGAAACAGTTTCACAAAGGTTCTTAGCTTTGTAGCAAATCAAGTCATCCAGGAAGTTTTTTTTTGGCATGGTCCAAGCGCCACATCCGTCAGAATTGAGATTAACACGCAACCTTAATCATTTTTGATGCAGCTTTCCCTCCTCTTTCTACTTTTCATGTTTGACTGAGGTTCTTAATAGTTTCCATGAAATTTGGGATTGTAAACTGTACCGTTAACAAGCCCAAATCCAACCCAAACCCAATTTCTCAAAAGTTGAGCTGAAAAAAAACTTGAATCCAACAGAACGTATTCCAGTCTTTTGACAGAGATTGAATAGTACCAGATGGAGCAACCTGACAGTATACGTTCTTTTCAAGTCGAACATCTTATAAAAATGTTCTTGCTCAAAAAACTGGTTTTCTTAGCACTAAGTCAGCTTATGTGCACCCATACTTTTAAAACCACATTTTCGAAAGTGAAGAAACATAACGGTCGCATTTCGTAGAGTTCAACAATGATCAAGCGTTGAATGCTTTGAAACTAGAAAGTCTGAAGGGAGTGCGAATGTCATTTATTTTGATATTAAGAAACTCAAAACCGCTTTGCACACTTGTCAAAACAAGCTTGAACATGTGTGTGACACACACAGAATGATCACAGAATGTGACCTACTAATTAAATAATTTAGAAGGCATTTTTGCACAATTTACAGCTGGTGAAGAAATCTTGTATGAAGATTCTTCCCCTACTGGTCTACTGGTGAAGGAGTACAAGTCAGCTCTATTTAGCTGACTTGTACTCCTTCGCTTGGCAAATAGAGAAATTTGAAAAGTTAGCGAGACTTGAAGTGGAAAACCATAAGTTCAAAATTTCGGTGATTTAGAGCTCGTTCCTTGCACTGCAATCCAATCACGACCCTTTGATAAAGCATGAAAAGCTTCATCAAATGCTGCTAAGGTCGTTCATTTACTCGATTCTGACGGATGTAGGGCCCAGTCAAAATTTCGAAAACCCCTTAGGGACGTTGATATCAATACCTTCTAGTTTTTTTATGTAATGCTAAGCTCTCTTGGATAGTGCTCTATATGAAATCGGTCATTACCTTGTTGTCTAAATTAACTTCAAAGGTCATGTCAATCAATTGTTCAGTTGGCGGAAGCTCAGCGCTTTCTTTATTAGTAGCAATAATTGATATGTGTATCATTTAGGTATCCTATGTGGTGTTTCCTTCACACCCGTCATCGCAGCGATAGTTGCAGCATTATAACAATGGTGGTTATCTAGAATTCATGCGATCTCATTGAAAGCTCTGTACAACTGCATTCGTTACATAGAACAACCTTTTCAACTCATAGTAAGACTTCCACAGAAGTCTGACCAGAATTGTTTGATGAAATAGCTCCTCAATGAAAAACGATTACAAAAACATTGTAATCATCATACAGCTTAGTGATAGCATTAACAATCTTATATATAAAGCTGAATGTCTGTTTGTCTGTATGTCTGTCTGTCTGTCTGTATGTACGTATGTTCCGAATAGAAAATTCCATTTCTGAACCGATCCGGACCAAACTTGGCACACATACACTACGGGCCCCGGCGGGTGTCATAGGCTACTTTTCGTCATCGATCGATATCGATTTTATCGATTTTTATCGATTTTTTTGCTGAGTTCACCTACGGGGCTGGGAGTTGGCACAGGGGGGTAATCGAGCATGGGGATTCCGAATACAATATTGGTTTTCAGGATTATCGATTACTTTTATCGATTTTATCGATTTTTTTGCAAAGTTTGAGCTAGGAGGCTGGGAGTTGGCACAGGGGGGTAATCGAGCATGGGGATTCCGAATACAATATTGGTTTTCAGGATTATCGATTACTTTTATCGATTTTATCGATTTTTTTGCAAAGTTTGAGCTACGGGGCTGGGAGTTCGCACAGGGGGATAATCGAGCATGGGGATTCCGAATACAATATTGGTTTTCGGGATTATCGATTACTTTTATCGATTTTATCGATTTTTTTGCAAAGTTTGAGGTAGGGGGCTGGGAGTTGGCACAGGGGGGTAATCGAGCATGCTGATCACCCCCAAGGGGGGTGATCAGCATGCTCGATTACACTCCTGTGCCAAATTCCAGCCCCCTAGCTCAAATTTTCAAAAAATCGATAAAATCGAAAAAGTAATGGACGATCCTGAAAACTAATATTGTGTTCGTAATCTGCATGCTCGATTACCCCCCCTGTGCAAACTCCCAGCCCCGCAGGTCAAACTTTACAAAAAAATCGATAAAATCGATAAAAGTAATGGACGATCCTGAAAACTAATATTGTGTTCGTAATCAGCATGCTCGATTACTTCCCTGTGCAAACTCCCAGCCCCGCAGGTCAAACTTTACAAAAAAAATCGATAAAATCGATAAAAGTAATGGACGATCCTGAAAACTAATGTTGTATTCGGAATCCCCATGCTCACTTCCCCCCCTGTGCCAACTCCTAGCCCTGTAGGTGAACTCTGCAAAAAAATCGATAAAAATCGGTAAAATCGACATCGATCGATAACGAAAAGTGGACTGTGACACCCGCCGGGGCCAGAAGTGTATGTGTGCCAAGTTTGGTCCGGATACGGCGGAGCCGGGTAAGCCAGCTAGTTTTTGATAAATCTCGATATCCTTTACATAAATATGAGTGCTATTGTATCCAATGCCAAACATCAATAAAGTAGAAGGATCCGTAAGCAAGGAATTATTACTTGCTGATAGATTCTGCAAGGCAGAAGAGCTTTAGGTTTCGTAGCTATCTGTCAGCTGTGAAAGGGCACATTTCCTGCATTCCGTGCGCTATTTAGCTTTTCTACTGAGCGTTATGAGCTGGTACCTTACACTCATATGGAATTGATTTTGACAGGATTGCTTATCTGGCCGTGAAGAAGAGTCAACAATGATCTTTCTAACTAAAGGCTGATGCATGATGAAGGCGCAGAAGCAGTATTAATTGAGCGGGCGCCAACACTGTGCGCGCGTATCTTCACCGTAGTAAATCCTGCGCCTCATGCGCTCTGCGGCCAATGAAAGCTCGTTCGCGCAAGATATTGCGCCTTCGTCATGCAGCAGCCTATACTTACGAGATCATTAGGGTGGCGCGAGCGTAAAGGCTATATAATCACGAACTCTTCAACATTTCAAAAAAACAACGCAAATTTTTTTCAAAAGATTGTTATTACTCTCATTAGTGCTTCGAAAACATCTTTTTTGTCCAACAAGTTCATTGTAATTAGAATTGTATAAACGGGAGATATTCAAATATGTAAAGTTCATGAAAACGCACAAATTTCTCGTTTTTCATAGATCTTGAGATAGAAACAAGCTCTATACCTGTACGTTGCTGAAAGAGCACTGTTGGAAAAAACGAATTTGTATTATGAACCATATAGTGTAGAGTTATGAACAATGAAAGTGCGTCTGTTGTCAGTACGCATAGAATATATGGTATGCAAACATCATGAAGATTTGCTTGTCTCCATTCGCGACTTTCGAGCGCGGCACATCGTTACGCATACATATGAAAAAGAAAAAATAATGATATAAATGAAAATGACCGTATATACGATGCCGGAGCTTGAATCCCTGAACAACGACAGTATGCTTCAAATCTTCATGGAAACTTATCGACCACAAAATATGGTACCAGCTAGTGTCGTCTTCCACCACCTTCTCGTCTTCGATGATTCTCTCGTACCAGGACAAAAGCGGATGAGAAGCTGAGATTGAGTGCTACCGCTTATTGATCGATACTTCTAATTTCGCGTACCATCCATATCAAAACCATAATGTTGTTGGGGACCTTTCCTACGACTACCTTTCCTGTTGATTCTTTCCAGTAGACATTTACTGTAATCTCTCAGCGTTTCCTTTGCTATTGCTGTCCCATCAAGAGATATCGGTTGGATATTTTGAACAGCGATCTGAAATGTTGCTTTTGTTAGCAATGGCAACCTCTCGGCAAGGTGGGGGGAGGAGGGGATGGTTAATTTCAAAGAGTTGCAGTAGCAGGCTCCCAACTAAAACCAATAATGTCCGGAGCTAAAAGCGCGCCTACGCAGCCTCGAATTGCCAACAAATGCAAGGACTTCAAACTCGTCCTGGATACAGCTCATCTTACGATTTTGGACTCCTATTAGGGCTCACAATTCTCGCAAAGTTTTTGCCATAGGGTCCCACCCACTTTGGGTCTCTCTCACTTCCCCCAAAGTGAGCTCTGCTTCACAAGTCTAGAAAGGGCAGTTTTCTGCAATTTGGTGCTCTTCGACCTACACTTTTTCAATCAGCGGGAACTAACAAGTCCAAGTAAGCAGAAAATGTTTAAGTCGGGTTGCCAGCTGTCTGAGTTTAGGGGAGTTTCGCCTGCCTTCAATATTCAGCCACAGTGCAACCATAAACTTGATAATGGAGGTGATCGCGTGCGTCGCGCAAGCAGATCCGCTGCGCATCTTAGCTTAGTCTTTACTCGAAGCTCTCGAAGAGTCAGTATTAGATTTCACAATTTGTGACCACGTATACCTAGATAGCTGAACGTTGAAGGTAAGAGAAAGGAGTGTACTGTTTCAAAATTGACAGCAGTTGAGCTCACTTGCTGGGATAAGCTTAACTCCTTCCGCTCACGTCAATTGTGAATTATTAGGGGCTAGCCCTATGTGATTGGTTGGCCATGAAGGGAGGCCTACGCGATGTTGATAGTTCTAGTGGCGAAATGTTTGATTCTGCTGCACCGCCATCACACCACTCGCCACCGTTAGTAACTCTTTGAACATTCATTTATATAAAGTCAAATTCTTATAATAGACGCTGATAATCGAAAAACGATTAAAGGTGCAGCAAGATGCCTTGAAAAAAGTATTAGTCCTTTTCTAGGGTCGGAAATGTAAAGCAAAGTTTGACGCTCATCGGTCGAAAGATTTCTGTAAGTGCACATAGTACGTATGAAGATTGTAAGGGACTATCTAGGACGGCGCTAATTTGACCGAATTCAATTTGTGATGTGATTTGATATTTTCTCCCACTCCCAGCAATCATAAAATTTGAAATCTGGCAGCTCACCACAGCAGGCTATCACTCTAATCCAAAGTCAAGACTAACAGTAGGTCAAATTGTTACATTACCACATCACAAATGATCTTACAGCGTTTTAGAAATGTTCACTTATACTTCTTTACAAAGGGAGGGAAGAATTGGAGAACTACCGACGTATCAGCTTGCTAAGCCTGCTTTACAAGATGTGCATAAAAGTCATGTCTCTTATTTAAAGAACGTTGAATGAAGTAAAAACATTTGAACAAAAAGGACTCCGTGAAGGATTCAGCTGCATCCATCATATAAAACCGTCTCGAGGGTCGTAGGTTCTATCAAGAATACTTCCTGCCCCTACTCCTCACGTTTTCCGATCACGAAAAGGCTCTCGATATTGTGAAGGTTACTGCCGTTTAACTGCTTTGATCGACCAAGGAGTGGACTCAACATACATGGGGACGAATGTAAAACAAAAGTAAATCTGCTCGACTACCCACTCCATTCCCACATCTAAATCGAAAAAAGAGTACGGCAAGGCGACACTTTTTCACCTAAGCTGTTTACCGCGGTGCTGCAATGGTATATGCGGTCGCTCGATAGGGTACGAAGGGGTTACGCGTGGATGAAAGGCACCTTTCCAATCTTCGTTTCGCAGATGATATAGTTTAGTTATCGAAGTCCATCAGCGAAGTCGCTGGATGTTGAATAAGACGAACGAAAGCGGAAGAGGAATGAAAAGAATAGGATACAAGACTGGAAAAAGACACAGTTAGTACATTGCTGTGGAGGTCAATAATTATTCTTGGATGGATCACCACTAGAGGTGAACTCATCCTGTTTGCCTAGGACGCACTATCAACATGAACGAAGATATGGGATGAATTAAACAGAAGACAGAGAGCAGCATAAACAGCATTCTGACTTCTGAGAGAGGCCACGGAAATTCCTCACCAAAGAGATGGTGGACGAATTGTGTCCGTGTAAACCAGCTGCGTTGTTGAAGTCTAATTCAGGATCATCCAGCAATCGCAACAGCGCATCAAGACGATCAGAGGTGACGATTGCACGAGACCGAAATCAATGATCAAATGTCCGAGCCCGCACGGCCAAGAACGGGCAATCTATAATCCAAGTAAATATATTAAGTTGTCTTTAGTTTTTGATCAAAGAACAAAAGGTGGACGTTCTTTTATTAGTACAAGGAACAGTTCCTAGGGTGGTCATTACATACTCCAAAGATAAATAGTAGAAGTGTAGGAAATTTTAGGATAATGTATGCTACATTATGCTCTACTGAAGGCAGCAATGATACACTTTACCTTCAGATCGTTTCCGTTAGCACAATTCTTTTCGTTACAAACGCACATGATTGGTGTGTCCTTCGCAAATCCTGCCTCATATTTGTAACATGCCAAATCTTTCTGGGAAAATGTTTTACAAAGTTTGCTGAATTGAAGGCTGAATGATTTACTAATTTCTCCATTTCCACGAGTGGGTAATAATCGCCCCACACCGGCATTTCATAGACTTCGCTGGCATTACATAAGTTCAACAGAGGAAATAACTTGGCACACAGTAATTTCCCCGTTAACAAACTCTGAAGCAACGATTGTTTTTGGTTCAGAGAGATAAGTCAAGTAAAGACTTACAGCATTTCCAAAAGTACATTGAGAAAAGACGAAGTTTACAGAGTTTGAAAACAAGAGAAGAAGTAGCAATCTGAAAGCGATTTCGCATCAGATCAAGAATAACGAATTCGCTGAGAAAAAGGTAAGCCAGCGTCCAACATTTTCATCTTTTTGCAAAAAAGGTCGTCGTTATTGAGTGTAGAGGAAGAAGCAAAAGGACGAGCAGCATAACACCAATGCTGACTGACTTTACCATGCGTTTTGCAAACGTTAGATAAGAAAATGAAACTCTCTACACCTATCAACTTCAGCGAATTCAGTAAAAGTGTGTTGAAACCTTGACAAACATGTCGAATACAATTCTGACTCAAAGGCGAATGGAAAGAGGATTTTATTAGCAGTTAGTATTGAAAGAACAGGTATTCCAGATTCTTACAGTTTCTTGCGAATTTCAATAGTTTCTTTAGTCATATGAAGAAACCAAATATTTGCAATTTTATCAAATGGTATCGATATAGAGGAAGTTCAACAGAAAAGTAACGAAGATGGAAAGTATGATGTTTTGTTCAATACAATAAAAAAGTAAAGGCTATTACAAGACGAAGGACAAAAGCAGTACTAGTTAGGCGGGCGCGAATGGACGCGCGCGTATTCTCACCGTTGTAAATCTTGCTCCCCATGCGCTCTACGGCTAACAAAGCCGCGTTCGCGCCCAAAGATATTGCGCCTTCGTCATGCAGCAGCCTATAATTCGTACATCAAGAATAGGCGTTTTTTCAACTTGTTCCTGTTGATTTCCAGCCAAGACTCGGCATAAGTTGGCATCAATAACTTCGAGTCTCGCGTCTTCGCAAAACTTGGGACCTTGTTATGAAGTGCTCATGAGGAAAAGTTAGGAGGAAGGTGGAGGGAAAGGAGGGAATCTACGTTCGTTTCATATCTAGACGACTTCAGAATTTGGATTTTCGGAATTCCAGAAGAGATGAAGTCTTCTGTAAGTAGCCCCATAAGCTACACCTGATTGACTTGATTCAAAATAACACTATTCTGCTTTGAAATTTCTCTCAAAAATGGATCTCAACTTCTCTCATGTCTCTTTTCATCGCTACGTCACAAATATACATCTTCAGCCAAAACATTAATTGAAAATATTAGGTCGTTTCAAAAGTAATTTCGCTTTTTTCAAACGGGCGCCACATTTGATGGAACAGAGATTTCTAAGAGATTTTGGTAGCATTCGATGCAGCATTTCATTTTCTTTCTGAAGGTTGTGAAATTCTTGCAAAGCAGTCAATGAGCCTTCAGAAAATAACCAAAATTTGCGACCCATGCTTTTTGAGATGGTCAAGTTTCACGATTTTTCAAAACTTTCATATCAATCCTCAAAAGGAGCTCAAGTAACGATTCGTTAGAGTAAACCTTACAGAATACAATACTACTTTTTTTCTCTTTCTTGTAACTCGCCGTAATTTTTTAAAAGATTTTTTAACAGAACCATTGGATTCTGGCAGGCCCACCTCAGACACAACCACATCAAACATCATAATTTTTCGGAATTTGAGACTACCAAGATGGTACTATGAGTTGGCATTAATTTTACAAAGCAAGTGAGGGTTTACGGGTTCGAAATATCAAATTTCGAGTTTTTCGGGTACAGCCTGAGGCTCGCCAAAAAAAATGAGTTATGATGGTTTCCAAGTTCCACTTTCTTTAAACCTGGGCATTGTTCGTATTGACAAAGTATTCTGTGCCAAACAGGTTTGTTAGGTGATCTTTATTAATCCAATCGAGGCCTAACGTTTCGACGCCTTCGTCTTCCTCAGAGGCCTGAAAATGGCTCAAAGTGTCATCTGTAGCTCCACGCCATCAAACACCCTTCCTAATCCTGCTAGTTCTCGACTTTCGCCTGACTTCCCTATTGCAAAAACGTCAGGGCGGAAGATGAACATACCGACAGATCACCACTATGCGAGTTTCCGCACCGGAAATGATGGTCACGGTGGAAGAATGAAGTATACCATAAATGACCATCGTAAGTCATCTACAGATCGCATAATGATATGAAGGGAAGAAAGTCGGAGGTTATGGACAGGCACTCATTTTTGTTGTTCATAGCTGGATTTTTCACTGAAATCCAGAACGCTTCTAACGCTTTCCTAGCCGAGGTTTCCCTTTCGTAAGTTAAGATTTTACATCTGATATTAAAGTCATCTCCACCATGCGTTTTAATTCTATGCCTGCCCAGAGGTGATAACTGGGTTTTACGCCTTTTATCTGTCATGTGTTCATTTATGCGAGTGCCTAATGGTCTTCCTGTCTCTCCAATGTAGAGTGTATTACAGCTAAAACATTCAATTTGATAAATCACTCCCACTTTAGCACAATCGCCTACCTTAACGTGCGGGCATACTACGCAGCATTGCTTCGACATACAGTATCGATCATACAATCTATTTGATTTGATAAATCACTCCCACTTTAGCACAATCGCCTACCTTAACGTGCGGGCATACTACGCAGCATTGCTTCGACATACAGTATCGATCATACAATCAAATAGATTGTATGATCGATACTGTATGTCGAAGCAATGCTGCGTAGTATGCCCGCACGTTAAGGTAGGCGATTGTGCTAAAGTGGGAGTGATTTATCAAATTGAATGTTTTAGCTGTAATACACTCTACATTGGAGAGACAGGAAGACCATTAGGCACTCGCATAAACGAACACTTGACAGATAAAAGGGGTAAAACTCAGTTATCACCTCTGGGCAGGCATAGAATTGAAACGCATGGTGGAGATGACTTTGATATCAGAGATGTAAAATCTTGACTTACGAAAAGGAAACCTCGGCTAGGAAAGCGTTAGAAGCGTTCTGGATTTCAGTGAAGAATCCAGCTATGAACAACAAAAATGAGTGCCTGTCCTAACCTCCGACTTCCTTCCCTTCATATCATTATGCGATCTGTAGATGACATCCGATGGTCATCTATGGTATACTTCATTCTTCCGCCGTGACCATCATTTCCGGTGCGGAAACTCGCATAGTGGTGATCTGTCGGTATGTTCATCTTCCGCCCTGACGTTTTTGCAATAGGGAAGTCAGGCGAAAGTCGAGAACTAGCAGGATTAGGAAGGGTGTTTGATGGCGTGGAGCTACAGATGACACTTTGAGCCATTTTCAGGCCTCTGAGGAAGACGAAGGCGTCGAAACGTTAGGCCTCGATTGGATTAATAAAGATCACCTAACAAACCTGTTTGGCACAGAATACTTTGTCAATATGAGTTATAATGATTTCTCTCCGAAAACTAAACGAATCGGAAACAAAAAACACTTGTTAGAAAGAAAAGAAAATGCTGCATCGAATAGTGCGTGAGCTGCTCTTCTTTTGATGTTCTACGAAGATTTAGATGCCTAGGTATGGAAATCGGTAGCATCAGTGAAAATTCTGTTAAAAAAGTATGACAAGCTATGGAAAGGAGAGAAAAGCAGTACTGTATTCTATAAGGTTTGCTCTATCGAATCGTGCTTGAACTCCTTCTGGTGATTGATATGAAAGTTTTGAAAAATCGTGAAACTTGACCATCTCAAAAAGCATGGGTCGCAGATTTTGGTTATTTTCTGAAAGCTCATTTACTGTTTTACAACAATTTCATAACCATTAGAAAGAGAATGAAATTCTACATCGAACACCTCCGAGATCTCTTAGAGACCCTTGTTCCGTCAAATGTGGCGCTCGTTTGAAAAAAGCGAAATTACTTTCGAAATGACCTAATATAAAAATTAAATAGCGAAAAAATTGCAACACATGGCTTTTTAACGGTCACCGCCTTTTTCATGAAGTTATTGGGTGCTTCCGACAAAGTTTTACGTAGCATCGACTTTGCCTATAACAGTTGCAAGTTTTTCAAAGCCTCGTACTGATTGCACAGTAACACTTTAGCCGTATTCTCTAAAGATTTTCTATAAGGTTTAGGTCAAGAAACGTGGTCCACAAAATCCATCTTTTTGCAAAGTGGAAAAGGACGATGGGAAATGCGTCTATAGGCTGTACCAACCAGCATCGGTTCCGCGTTGGTATGCCTTGCGGGAACGCACGGTCGCATGAAACGTGCTCTCGCGCGTAACAGAGTTCGCACGCGTCACCCGCATCGTCGCAAGCTGCCGCAGGCGCGACGTCGCATGACCGATGCGGGTTGATACAGCCTATATGTGTAAATGCACGTTGTTTAGCTGTAGAATGCAAAGTTGTCTGTTCCGGCCGTGGACATAAAATCTTAGCAACCCCTACTCTCTGTTTTTTCTACAATTGAAAATTTGAGAGGCACAAAATGTTTACTAGCGAAAAAAATCTCTGCTACAATCTTCTTGTTTGATGAGAGGAGTTCAGTGTAGCAATAAGCCTTCTGAGTGTTGCAACGCGCTTTTATCTACCTCACTAAAGATGTTGGCCCATTCTACCGCAAACAAGAAATCTGGATGTCCTCAAATTTCTTTGAAGTAGGAGAGAGCAGTGTTTTGCTGAATCGGTGTGTGTGGCTTGGTCAGCAATCCAATGGCTCCACACGATTTATTTTCATTGCCAATTCATCTGCTAAGAAAAGAATCTTTAATCCAATAACGCTTGCAAAGCGATATCCAGAGCCTTCCGCGACCCAGTTGCGACCGCCCGGCTCTGTCGCCAAAGATTGCGGCTCAGACCTATGATCTTGTGTACTGATAAATGGGAAGAAATTCTTACTTGTTTATATAACGCTAAGTACACTTTCGATATCACAGCAAATGTCACTAGGATATCTGAGAATAACTACAACCTCATTGGAACAGAAAAAAATTAGACAAAAGATTCTTTAAATTAGACAAATGCAGTTGAGCAAACATCCGGCTATCATTAGCCAAGTTCCAGCCTCTGCTGGAGAAACAGAGAAAATTACAAACGAATTTTAATAGGGTTGTTTTTAAGTTTTTTGACCTATCACACTACAAAATCTGACTGGATGCGCTGGCCATAAGCTACCGTTCTTGGTCAACCATGCTTCTTTGAGTCTTGAGAGGCTGGGACTTGTTGCATATAAAAATGTAACAATGCGGACATAATTCCATGGGTTTCATGAATAAAACCGCTGGGAAATTATCACTTGCTTTCATCTATTCTACCGATTTTATGCAAACTTGGGAACTTGAAGTCATCAGCGGTCACTGAAATTGCCTCGCACTTTTAATAGTAAGAAGAGGAAGGAGTGTGAACCTTAGGGTGAGTGGAAAAAGAAAGAGTTCGATAATAAAGGAGAACGTTTAGAAGTTTTCTACCTAAATTCCCACTACTCTAAGCTCAAGAACATTGGCGGCTGTATACGACTTATTATGACCGCTTCAGGCCAATACGTTCAAAAGGTTGAAAAGTACAATACTTTAGTGTGTACCATTCGTTCAGCGGAAGTACTCGCGAGCTACAACGAACTAAAGTCCCCAAAGGAGCCTTTACACTAATCAACGCAGCAGTTAAGTTTGCAGAATCCATTGCGAATTGATCGCAAGAGACAAAATGCAAATGTAGTATACATGCGTGCTACTCGATTCCAAGAAATTCCAAGAATTTGTTCAGTTTGCAAAAATCTAGTATGATGTAGCTGGGTTTATCTCTAAAACACCGCAAATTTTCTAACGATGTAAAAAAGAAGTTGATATGATTAACACTTCAAAAGCAATCACAAAGCTTTAAGAAACCTGCGTTCACAACAAAAAGCTTTTCTGTAATATGGTGCTATTCATTGTAGGTCTTCTGTTTCAATGTGAGCATTAGTTCCGTGTCTTTATTTTGTTGTCTTCTACTTTCATTTCGAATTCTACTACTCTACAAGTCTTCTGGTGCAGTATGTAATAAATAGTCCTTGTGAGTTACACCATACATTCCATTGGCATCTCCAAAGGTCTCTCCTTGAATTCTCTTTCTTGCACCTTATTCTCACAGAACTTCCATTTTGCAAGCCAAGGAACAATAACAATAACATACTCATTGTTACGGATTAAGCTTTATTACTTACGCAAAACAATTGGCAAATCTCGTTGCACGCCTCGTACAGCCGTAGTCCACACCCGTTCACTACATCCGTCATTGCCAACTTCGGGGACCTCTTGCGAATAATCAGCTTTCGATTTATTTGAAAGCAACGCTGATGTGACGACTAATCGTCTCAAATTTCTCCAAGACTGATTTGCAACCGGCAATGCTTCTTCTGCGCTAGTGACTGTGATGGTGCACACGACGGGGTTCTTTTTCGCTCTCTTAAAGATGCCTTGCGGTCTTAGTAGCTGTGCACGGGTCTTTGGGTTGAATATGACCATAATCAGACTAGAAAGCATGTTTTACAAGAAGAATTCATGTAAATAAATTTACTAACCCATCCAAAGCATGGCTGGTTTCCATTAGAAGCGTGGTCATGACGAATTTAGCAAAGTGCTCCTGTCTTTCTCCAAATATAGCTTGGTAGACTGGGATAAGATTTGCGACAATCAATAAACATACTATTAGTAGGAGGTTGGTCGTACACGACTATAAAGAGATCTAAAGGGCTTGTTATGGAAAATTTAGCATTTACCTGTATAAAAAACAATACGTCGGTGTGGCTGAAGTGGCGATCGACTCTACTATTTTCCTATAAAAATTCTGTAATATTTATGATTAGTTCCTATTACGCAAATAGTTGTGAAAGCTACATGATATATTTGCTTGAGAGACTGCCTTTCCCTTGATGTATGACTGAATATTTACCCGGAAATAGTGATAGATGCCGATGGCTGTCAGTAGATCAAGTGCAGTGCCAGCAATCAAGAAGCTGACTATAACATAAAAATCCACGTATTTGCTAATGAACTCCGCACAAATCATGCTTTCAAAAGTCCATGTCCAGCTGCTGAGGCGAAATATGAAACCGCAGCCATCTAAACGAAAGATTATTTTGCCATGCTGCAACTTTTTAGAGGTTTTCGGAGATTTTGTCAGCGCTATAAACATGACACAGTATACCTAATGAAGGGAGAGGTACAGTATAATAAAACTTGGCAAACTAATAACCTCTCTTGCAATCGCGACAGGGTAGAAAAGAGGAAGAGAAGCTCTACATTGGTATGTTTTTACAATTACAAAAGCTCCAACCACGTGAAGTCTGACAGCAAAATCTGGAAAAATCCAAATACCCAGAGTTGGTCCCGTTCAAAAATCCTGCTAACCCCAAGTTGGCCACGCATATACTTCCCAAATCAGACATCATTCGCACAGTGGCTGTAATTTTTCACTGTTATGATAAAACCAGTGCGTCACCTCTGCTTCGCAGAGGCTCGCACTGGCTCTACTATCTAGGCTCTACTCATTCTCGCATAAGGATGGCATTGGAACTCACCGAGCAATGCCGATTATCACGAACAAAATGTAAACAACTACTCATTCCTAAAGCTTTTAATGTTAAATCGGTGACCTCGCGTGAATGAGAGTTTTTGCACGAAAACGAACGCAAATTTCATAGGTTTGTGATAGTCCCATGGTCTTGACATTGCAATAAGAACGCAGTCATTGTGAGCTACATCTTTGTGCAAAAATCTCGTCAAATGCTCTGGTACAACCTTGGCAAATTGACCATTTACGCAACCAATACTTTTCGGCGCCGTTTTTGTAAAGTAATGGACTTTTGATCACTTTTTTGCGCCTAAGTTCATGGCTTGCACATCTACTTGGCATTAACATCCACGACTCTGCAAAAAGTGGAATTACGGACCCAATTTTGCGGCCCAAATGCAAAATGGTTCCATTTGAGGCGCAGTTTCTGAAGTATCCACTCAACGAATCTGCTCGTATTTTTGCATGTTGGACTTTCATGCGGGTATCTACCATGCGCTGTGCAAAATTTAAGCCCAGGAGGTTGGCTGGAACATGCTCTACGAATTTCGTAACACACACACACACACACACACACACACACACACACACACACACACACACACACACACACACACACACACACACACACACACACACACACACACACACACACACACACACACACACACACACACACACACACACACACACACACACACACACACACACACACACACACACACACACACACACACACACACACACACACACACACACACACACACACACACACACACACACACACACACACACACACACACACACACACACACACACACACACACACACACACACACACACACACACACACACACACACACACACACACACACACACACACACACACACACACACACACACACACACACACACACACACACACACACACACACACACACACACACACACACACACACACACACACACACACACACACACACACACACACACACACACACACACACACACACACACACACACACACACACACACACAAAGTCACGTAAACATCCTTAGCCCGTTATTATATGTGATGATGGAAGTTGGCATGCTTTGGCAGATGTAAGCCACTTTCAGGTAATTTTATACTATGAATCTTTGCATAATCATAGATTTTCAGCCTTCTGCAAGCGCTAGTTTCCAAAATATCAATTTATTGTATTGTCGAAAAACCAACATGCATTTTTTACTCATTTTTATTTTTCATAACTCGGCCAGAAAAATGCAGCAAGTGTACCTACGAATGTCTGTTGTGAGAAGTATATTCTTGACCAAGTTTAAGGTTGTCAAGACCTTTTTGGGGAAAAACGTGATAATTAAAAGTTCAATTTTTCAGATTGTGCTTAGTTCACGTGGATCGCACTTTTTACGATTGTACAAATACCATCTTGTAGAGCTTGTTTTCTTCTACAAATGGTATGTTTTCGACATTTTTATATCTATCTTGCTGCGATCGCATTATGGACGTTGTTAATTTCCAAAGAGCCTATTACAACAAGTAAACGGACTCACTGATGAATCCTAGACTGAAATACCATAGGAGATAAATACCCAACAAGATAAGTAATTTCTTCGTGTTCGTTGAGGAAAATATCTTTTTATAATACGCGAAACAATAAATTGCCATGAAGCGATTGATTGCTAAGTCATACATTCCAGCTCTCCTATGGATTCAGTTATAATCTCCAACTCACCGAAGATAATCTGTGTGTAGTGTACGAGAAAAAAGCAGTATCTTATGATATTGCCACACAATTTTCCTACTATACCTTCTCCCAACGTATGGGACTCCCTGTAATTGTTTTGAAATCATACACTTCTCAAAATAATCATTTAGAAAATCCTTAAAAGAAGCCATTCTAAAAGCAAAAAAATTTCGCATTGTAAAAACTGCCCTGACTGCTTTATCAGAATTCTTTGGCAGTTTTGAAACAAATTTAAATCTGGAGAATATGAAAAAGGTAGGTTATGAACTTCGGCGATTATTTTACAACCAGTGCGTCACCTCTGCTTCGCAGAGGCTCGCACTGGTCCTACTAACTGCACGCCTTACTCATTCCCGCATCATAATGACATTGAAACTCACCGCGCTATTCCGACTATCACGAAAGATTTGTAAACAACTATTCATTCCAATAGCTTTTCCATATAAGATCGGTAACTCCGCTTGAATGAAATTTTCCCAGAACAAATGCAAATTTGGATTAGTTTTTGGACTTTTCATGGCTTAGATTTCGCCATAAGATACAATAATCACCGTGGGCTACAACTCTGTGCAGAAATTTTCTTAAATGATTGGGTAAGTCTTGGCAAAATGAACATGTACGCAACCATCCTTTTTGGCGCCGTGTTCGCAAAGCAATAAACTTTAGTTCAATTTTTTCGGCTAAAGAGGCGACTTTGCAAAAAGTTGTGCTACAGGCTGAACTTTAGTGGCCAAAAGCCAAGTGGATCCGATTGACGCGCCTTTTTTGAGGGTTCCACACAACGGATTCGCTCGTGCTTTTGTATAGCGGACTCCCATGCTGGTAGCATGCGCTGTGCAAAATTTAGGCTCAGGAGGTTGGTTGGAAGACGTTCTACGAATTTCGTGACAGACAGACAGACTTACACACACACAAAAACACATAAACACCCTTAGCCCGTTATTATAAGTAACCAGTGCTTCACCTCTGCTTCGCAGAGGCTCGCACTGGCTCTACTGTCTAGGCCCTACTCATTCTCGCAAAATGATGTCATTGAAACTCACCGAGCAATGCCGAGTATCACGAACAAAATGTAAACAACTACTCATTCCAAAAGCTTTCTCATGTAAAATCGGTTATTTCGCGTGGATGAAACTTTTTGCAGGAGAACAAACGCAAATTTTTACAGTTTTGATTTTTGCATAGTCTTGACTGTTGCCATAAGAACAGTAGTCACTGTGAGCTACGTTTTTGTGCAAAAATGTCGTCAAATGTTCTGGTAAAACCTTGGCAAATTGACTATTTACGCAACCAATACTTTTTGGCGCCGTTTTTGTAAAGTAATGGACTTTTGATGACTTTTTTGGGCCTAAGTTTATGGCATGCACATTTGCTTGCCATAAGCATCCACCACTCTGCAAAAAGTGGAATAACGGACCCCATTTTGCGGCCCAAATGCAAAGTGGATCCGTCCGGCGCAGTTTCTGAGGGAACCACTCAACGAATCTGCTCGTGTTTTTGCGTGTTGGACTTTTATGCGGGTAGCATGCGCTGTGCAAAATTTGAGCCCAGGAGGTTGGCTGGGACACGCTCTATGAATTTCGTGACAGACAGACATTCAGACAGACAGACACACAAAAACACGTAAACACTCTTAGCGCGTTATTATAGTAGGATGAAATGGACCAAACAAAAGGAAGCTGGAAGAAAAAAAGTAAAGTTGCGTCAAACAGCTTGGCTTTTGTCTGTTAGTTACTCAGTTGAGTCTAAACGGCAGAAACTTCCGGACGACTGCTAGAAGCTACTAAATGTTACTTACAAGAAAATGACAGGAGCTGAGAAAACAATCATGATAATTATAACAACGGCATCGGCAGCAGCACGGAATGCACAGATTTTTTCAAAGGATGTGGTCGAGTGGAAGACAGGAAGAATGAGAAGGAAGTTAAAGCAGAGCCCAGGTATACCAACCTCAAAAATTTTGCTTTTTGTTGAGCAAGAAGAAGGACTGAAATAACTTACCACTATTAATAAGATAGCTGCCAAGTTGTTTTCAGAAACCATATTCTAGTTTACAGTTTTGCCTAAAAGCAAAAACTTCTTCTTGAATAGGTCTCCGCAAATATAAATGTACAACGTGTTTTCAACACAGCGCGGTATTTTTTTTCAGTCTAAACAATGACGATACTAAAGAAACCAACGACAAATCTAGGTTAATTACAATTGTATTTGAACTTACCAAATTGTATTCTAGCAATTGTCTTTGACTTACATGAAAGGTAGCTTAAAAGAATCAACTTAGACGAAAGAAAACTAATTAGGCTCGCAGTTTAGACAAGCATTGTTCATAATTCAATCATAGCCTGCGGGAAATCATAAAGCGTTCCACATCTGAGACTGATTAATTATGCTCCCATGTGTACGCAGCGATAATATGTTTTCAGCAACATGGTATAAAAAAAGAACTTATCAAAAGTCAGAAAGGAAACGCGGAACAAAAATAGTGAATGCGCGGATTATTTTTGATATCAAAAAAGAGCAACATGTTCTGCTTCGAGTTTCAGTTCTTCTGTTCTATAATTAAATTTTCTTGAAAATCATATATGCATTATTGTCAACATTATAAGATAAGTGCGGATGATTTTTTGAGTCACATAAGCATTTCGAAAATTGACGAAAGACGGCGGGAATGCGAAATGCGAAGAAATCGGTTTTGGGTGAAAAGGAAAGGGATATCCTTCTTGTAGGGTCATCAAATTTTCTTCTTCT